CTGTAGGCACTATGCTAATGATGTTTGCTGCTGATCCTCTACACCTTCAAAATCACTTCGTAAAATCCATTGAAAAAAAGGAGCCGGAACGCCTTTCCGGTGCATTCTATGACAAAAAAAGCCCTGGGTATAGCAATTATGAATATTCATTAAAATCTGCATATCAGACATGCGTATGATTATTGACCGTGATCTTGCTGTGCATGGCTATAAAGCAGTGCTGGAGCATTTAAACTTTTATGCTGAAATGATTATATAACAGAAGGGAGCAAATAGAGGATATTGTGAATTAGTGAATTCACACTAATACTGAAGGACTGTGTTATGTTGCGCACACGCACACACGCACACATACACACACACCCCCCAAGTCAAGCCTGGCAACAGCTGGTATGTCTGCTGCGTTATCAGAGTCAAATGTCATAGGAAATTGAAACCTTTGAAGATGGTTTTCTACAAACATGCTAGAGCTGGTGATACTTAATGATAAGGAGGCATTTGAGAATCAATTCTGTGCTTTCAAATAAGATATTCATCGAAGCTTGGGAAAGCTGATGCACACACTGATGCAGCCGGTGTGCATGTGTGTGGGCATGTGAAGAAACAGCAGCTGAAAGTTTTGAAAGAAATGCTGACAGTGGCAGAGAAATGACGAAGAGCTGGCTGAAAGCTCAAAACACTTTGCAGTGCCAAGCTTCTCCAAGTGTTGCAATAAGAACTTGATTGCAGGGCCAAAGTCCAATGCTCCAAAGTCCAAGTAACCCCTATATCAGCACTTCTATTGATTTTCCTTGCTTTATTGATATCAGATAAAAAAACCCTTTCATATAAAAACTGTTAGATTCCTTCCCCAGTGCAATACAAAGAGTAACCCCCCATCTCCTTCACTCATTTTGATTCTCGTCATTCTTTTATTGTCCACCTCATCAGACAGAAAGCAGTATATAAATCTTGTAAGTAGATAAATAAATTGTGTGAGCTGAACCTACAGACAAAACTCAATAGGAGCTTTTGATACTCATGTAACCACATTCCACGCTGCAATTGGTGCATTGTGCAAGTAAAAGGTTTGTTTTTATCAGTGGCGAAACACTGTGGTTTGAGTTTGGGGAAGTAGCAATATTCCTGAAATGAGCATGCTCTCTAGCGGAAAGCTATCCTGTGCCAAGCCCACAGATGAGTAATTGCTGCACACATTTGCTTTCAGATTTTGTCTGAGAAGCACCATATAATTTCTCAAGTACTGTATGAACAATCAAGAGCACCCCAGGGATCTCTGACTCCAAAAAATATAAAGGTTAACTTGGTTTACACCTTCTCCAAAGGTGTAAAGGTTAACTTGCTTTGCTACAGAAATAAGTGTCTTACCATTTGCAGCAACCAGAGTGTATTACATCTCAGATCAGGACTGGAAGGAAGGCTATTGCTGACAGCAATATGGCTGGTCTTTAAAAGTGCAGTCGTATACAGGTCTACTCAGATATAACCTCACTCAGTCAGAGTTTCTCTCAGGTCAGTTGGGTACACCCAACTTTATTTCTTTGCAGTCATGTGGTAAAAAATCAACAAAGTATAAAGACATTAGCCCATAGTAATCCTTACTTATATTTATGCTTATCCTTTGCAGTATGGAATTCTTTAGAATTTGATCTAGTTATCTGAAAACTTGGGATTTCACTTTTAATCACACAAAGAACTCCTTTGGAGCTGATAAAAATCAGAGCAATAGCACAAGAACTTTGTGATAATTCTCAGGGATTGTCAAGCACCGAAGCTCAAACAACTAATACTTGTGTGTCGCAGCCTTTTCCTAGTTCCAGGGAGGTGCAGAAGAAATGGATAGCTTTAGGTTCCAATATTCTAAGAAAACATTATCTCCTTTGGCCAGCTGTTCAGAGCTTCATAACTTACTGCAATGCTAAGCAGAATGATCCTCTTGGCACACTTGCTTCTGTCATGAGTCATGTACTGAACTGGGTTTTGGAAAACATCCCACTCAACGAAGGACACATAAGAGTGACATCTCTCTGTTTTCAGTGTCCAGGGTGTGAGTGCCATTGTTTGCATGATGATACTATCTATGCATAAGAAGGAGATGACCTGAAGGTCTCTAAAATACAAGTGTATCCTTTGGGGAAAGTATGGCAGAAAACCCCCAAGAGCAGCCCAAAGGGTCCGCCTCCCCCATGGTGCAGTGGCTACAGTGCTTGTTAGGGATAGGGCAAATGAAAAACCGGGGTGATGGAAGCCTGGAGCAGCTAGAATCCTAAACAGCACATGGGACTTTCTCCCAGATAAATGTATAGAATTGGAGCCTGTGGGCACAAGCTGTAAGGTGAACAATTCCTCTGCCAAATCTCACCATTGGAAAACATTGTGTAGCTATTTCCTCTCCCCACTCCCTGGCCACCTTTAATGGATTTTCTGTAACAAGGAAAAAAGATAAACCAAGTGGTGGAAAATACTGGAGAGGAGATTAGATGATGAGGCTGGGGACTTAGGGGCACAGATTAGAGTCACCCCCCTTGAAGTCGAGGGGCTCCTCAGGGCATTGGCCATTACAAAGGTGCCAGGCCCTGACGGGTTACACCCGAGAGTACTTAGAGAGTTGGCAGGGGTTTTCTCACGCCCGCTGGCCTCCATTTTTGAGGCCTCGTGGAGAACAGGTGAAGTTCCAGAGGACTGGAGGGTGGCATCAGTGGTCCCAATTTTCAAAAAGGGTAGTAGAAAGGACATGGGGAATTATAGACCAGTTAGCCTTACGTCCATTGTAGGAAAAACAATGGAAAGGCTCATAATAGAGAGAGATCTAGTGATGCTAGATAGGGAAGGGAGGCTGGCAGCCACACAACACAGCTTCCGCGAAAACAGGTCCTGCCAGACAAACCTTGTGGAATTCTGTGACAAGGTTTCGAGATGGCTAGATGGAGGGGATACAGTGTGTGTAGTATACCTGGATTTCAGCAAGGCCTTTGACAAAGTGCCCCATGATATCCTGGTGGAGAAACTGAGGAGGTTTGGGATACACCAAAGCACTGTCTGCTGGATTAGGGCATGGTTGACTGACCAAAAGCAGAAGGTAACCATTAGCGGGGAATCATTGGGATGGCAGCCAGTGACAAGCGGGGTCCCCCAGGGCTCTGTCCTGAGGCCGATCCTGTTTAATCTTTTCATTAATGACATGGAAGAAGGGGTGAACAGTCTGCTGATCAAATTCACAGACGACACTAAAACTGGAGCAGTGGCCACAACTGAGGAGCAGGTACTCCAGATCCAAAGGATCTGGACAGACTATGGAAGTGGGCAGGAGACAACAGGATGGCGTTCAATGTGGATAAGTGCAAGGTCTTGCACTTGGGGCATAGGAATAGCTGTCATAAGTACAAGTTAGGTGACAAGTGGCTGGAGAGCAGCACTTGTGAAAGGGACCTTGGGGTACTGGTTGACTGCAGGCTAAACATGAGTCAGCAGTGTGATGCGGTGGTCAAGAGGGCGAACGCCACCCTTGGTTGCATAGCCAGAAGTGTGGCTTCTAGATCAAGAGAGGTGTTACTACCACTCTGTATGACTCTGGTGCGCCCGCAATTGGAGTATTGTGTTCAGTTTTGGGCCCCTCGTTATAGAAAGGATATAGCCAGGTTGGAGTCAGTGCAGCGTAGGGCCACAAGGTTGGTGGCCGGTTTGCAGGGGATGGGGTATGAGGCGATGCTGAGGGAACTGGGTCTCTTCAGCCTGGAGAAGAGGAGACTCAGAGGGTATATGTTGGCAACATACAGGTATGTGAGGGGATGTCACATGGAGATGGGTAGAGACCTGTTCTGCCCTGCAGAGGAAGGCAGGACGCGCTCCAACGGAGCAAAGCTCAGGGAGCCAAGGTTCCATTTGGATGCCAGGAAGTGCTTCCTGACAGTCAGGACCCCGAGGGTGTGGAATGGCTTCCACGAGAGGTCGTTGAGGCCCCATCAGTGCGGGTGTTCAAGGATAGGCTGGACGTCCACATGGTGGGCATGTCGTGAGCGGAGCCGGCTGGAGCCAGAGGTCAGACTAGATGGCCCGGGAGACCCCTTCTGACTCGCTCTGTTTCTATGTTATGAATAGAAGAATGTCATTTGGGCCCCACTTCCTCATAGCATTCCGTGAATTGGGCAAGGCAGTGTTGCAATAAAAGCCTTGCCTAGAAGCACCCTCCGTCACATCCACCCTCTCCAGATGCAATATGTGGTAAGAACAGAAACGTACATTATCAAATAGCTGTTTCCATTGCCGAATGGAAACACTCTTAACATTCAAAACCCTTATATAAAGATGAAACTGTGTGAAATAAAAGTTGTTTTTTTCAAATATCTTACATTAGTGTAGCCATCCCATTTAGATGTTTTGGACTTCAACTCCTACTGGCACTATCAAGCATGGCCAAAGTTCAGTGGTGATGGGAGCTGCAATCCAAGAGCATCTGGAGGGCCACCCCAGATGACTTTTAAAGAATTCAACAGTGGCATAATGATTAATTTTGAAGGGCAGGTGCTCATCATGGCAGTCACATCCATGTCAACAAACCAGTTCCAGCAGGTTTCATCTTCACCAGCAGCTTATCTTTTGCAAATCTACTGGTTTTAATTGTCTATGCAAGACAAAGCTGCCCTGAAATATTTGTGTTATAAGAGGGAATAATATATGGTTGAAATATTGCTAGTACAATGCAGGAGAATAATGCTACCTTCATAATCATAATTGCAACAAAATATAAAAGTGTTAAATAAAGAAAGAAATCATACTTGTGAGTTCACAGAACTTCCTGGCTAGTTGGAAAGAATGTTGATCAAGACAGATGTTGATCTATTCCAGCAAGGCTGTTCTCAGGAATCTAGTCTTCTGAGTGAATAAACATGCTTATTTTGCATATGTTAATATATTCTTGCTTTACAGAGGTTTGTGTTTGTGACTTTTAAATAACTATTTTTGTACTAATGCATGGAAAGAATTAAGGACTAAACAAACACTTTTGCTTGCACAGTAATGAATAATAATCATGTATTACTTCCTTTACAGCCAATAGGTAGCATGTTCCAAACACAAAACACATTTATCTTGATAGTGTGGGTTTAAGTTTTTAACATATATAAATGTCTTTGCTGGTACCTGTGCTAAATTGCACTTTCAATCTGGTTTGTCATACCCATTTTAATTGTCACATTTTCCACCCTAGTTATGAGAAGAATGTTATGAATGTTATGAATGTCCTTTACATTTTCTGAGCAAAACAGCATGAGGAATGTTAAATGTAAGATTTGTGAGGCTTTTTTCTGCCTTAAATAAATTATAGATATACACATACACACAAGCAATTCTGGAAAAATCTTACATCTCATCATATTGCATTTAATGTTAGTTGAATGACACCAGATAGTTTTTCAGTGCCTTATTGGAAAACATATCTATCTTTTACCCATGTATTGATTAGAAAAAATGTCCACACCTCTCACCAAAATAGTCTTTAGGAAGGTGCTCATCCTGTTATTTCTACATATTTTAAGCACAAGTAATTGCTAGATAATGGAGCTGTTTTTGCTCTTTTAATTTCTCATTGGCCTTTTTGATTCAAGAGGATGATTTTATATTAATCTTAGGATTCAGTTCAAACCCTTTCTATGATCTGTGAGAAATGCTAAAGTAGTGTTTTTTTTCCTCTCCTCTGCTGTTCACATTTCTTTGGGCCAAATTAGAGTGAAGTTAAATGTATTTTAAATGCAAATAGGATCAGCTGGTGGGAGTATTAGATAATTATCAGGGTGGAAGCAGAGAAGTGGTATTTAACCTGCAGTCATAAGCAAAACCCCTAATGAGGAGCTGCTATATGCATTGGGGGAAAAAACTCCTACTGCAATCCCAATAACTATAAAACCTGTTCTCAACTAATATTGTTGGGCTTTTTAAACAAAACTAGAAAATTAAATGTAAGATGCATTTAATATTGTGGTTAGCTTGGCTCTTGCTGTACACATTCCTTCTCTTCAGTTGATATTTATCATTCTATGTATCAGTATAAACCAGTCATGAGTGTAACTGTGTTTCTAGGTAGAAATGCGTATTCTGTGGCCACACAGAAAAATTCTGAATGAATCCACTAGGGAAGATTTACAAAATCCAACCTAGTGCAGGTGACACATAGACGTTTGCCATGATCCAACAGTGCATGCTGGCCTACAGATCTCCTTTCTGGATCTGCTTCTTTGTGTTAGCGGTGAGATGAGATTCTCATCGCCAACCAGATGATTCTTTACTCTCCTTGCCCAATCACTTACTTATAGCCAGTGCACTAAATCCAAATGTTTCTTCCCTTCCACAACAAGCCTAGTACGTGCCTAGGTGAAGTCATGATTATCTGTTGGTAGGGAGTTATAGAAGGAAGAGGTTCTTGCCACTATCCATGAAAAATGATCTTTGGAATGGTGTCATTTTCTGCACAAGTCACCAAATTATCATTACTGACCAGTTAGCACAGGGTATCAAATGAAAGCCTGCTAGAAACAGAAGTATGGCATTAGATATCATTTGTCAATGATTTCACTTTTGATTTATAATTTCATCATAATGTAGATAAAGCCAGTTTAAATATTAGGACCACCACAGACTGAGTGCTTAAATGTTCCTCACAGAGCAGATGTTACCACATAGGGAGCTCTTTTCCTATATCTAGCCACTTTGGAGATATCAAGATTTCTACAACACAATCACAGATGGAATGGATACTTATTCCTTGCCAACAAAGAAAAGTGCATCATCAGAAATTTGCATCAAATGTGCATGTGCTGATTTATATGTATACATGCGTGCTTAAAAATAGTGACTACCATTCCAATAGAAAGGCAGCAGATCTCATCCAAGTGGGGAACCTTGTGACCAGGTATCTTCTGTGCTTGTCAGCTCAATTGCTTGTCCATCCTAACCCTAACCCTGTGCCCTCTCTATTCTTACGGTTCTTTACCTTTAAAATGAACATGGATCACTCACCCCTTCAAATAGAGGATGCCGTCAGGTAGAGCTCTGACAGCCCTTCAGACTTTAGCATAGGACATACGGCCACCCTAATAACAGCCCTTGATTTTTTACCATTTGCTGTAGTATGGTGAGAGAAAATAGCCAAATTCATGAAGTGAGCTACTTCACCTGATCACATAATAACAGCTGCAAGGATAAAGTTTAAAATGGCCCCTTACTGGTGCCCATAATATATAAACTGACTTTTTAATTTAATCAAAAGCACCCAGCATGTGAAATAGATACCCTGTTAAAATGCACCATTAATATCTGGTTCAGAAAATAGGAATGTAGTTGTTAATCTTTGTTCTGTGTCTCTGAGAGATGCATTCAGCAATCCATACAACATTTCTGCTTTCTTGTTCCTTCAGCTTTACATAGGCATAGAAGACCCCAAAATGAAACTGGTTGTTGAATGTGAGCACGTTCATTCTGACCTAAAGAAAAATGTGCAAGAAGAAAATGTATTTCATTAGATGAAGAAAAAAGGGGTAACAGGTTAATTGTTCCTTATCTCTTCCATTTGCAAAGATTCTGAAGTGCTTTACAAATAGCAGCATTAGTAAATGAAAACACAGTTTTTGTTTTCTCAGCAGAAGCCAGGCTAAAATAGAGCTATATCTGGGGTTCTGCAGCAACCCTTTTAAAGAGGCAGCAGGGATGTTAAGGGAGAGGTTATGAGAAAAAATAAATGCTTCTCTGATGGCAAAGACCTCATAAGTTGCTTACAGCAATTTTGAATAGAATCTGACTTTTTTTGTCTTTGTACTCTAGAAACTAATTAATGGGCATTATTCCATTGAGAAAACTGAGCTAGCTTGCCAAGAAAAATGGTAGCCTTTTCAATACCTTGTGGTCTCATAAAGCTGCAGGAAGCAGATTTTGCTGAATATATACTTTTCAGCAAGCAATTTTCCTTATAAAATGCATTTTTGTATTGTTTTCACCAATATATTGTTTTTGTGTGAATTTTCCCCTAACATATGCATTTCTGTATGCATTTTTGACTAGAGAGCTCTACTGTAAATTTGAAACAACAGCTAATTTTCAGTTCATGTATTGGCTCAAAAGTGAAAAAGTAAGTTTGTATGAAAAACGTGAACCAAACAAATTTCTCCCTCATGCCAACAAGTAAGGTATTACTTCTTCATTCAGAGCCATCAAAGCCTTTCTCCACTTTCTTTCACAACTGGCTCTGAGTAAGTTGAAGTGAAATAAACTTAATGAAGACAGAGATTCAGTATCTTACCTCATGTTCAAAAAAAGCATCTTCCAATGTTTTGTCACCTGTACCACCTCCAACAACTTCAAAGCAAGCTCTGTATTCCTGAAAGTACAAGAGTCTACTATTTAGTAACTTTTTTTGTAAATATGTTCTTTGGAGGCATGGCTCTAGTGTGTATGGCCAATAAGATCCAGAGGGTTGTTTATTTCCTTCCACTCTTAATAATACTTTTTCTCAGTGTGACTTTATAAAGGCCATAATTCAGTATCAAAGCGCATGTTTTGCATATGGGACACCTTTCCATCAACTTGGTGCACTCCAGGTGTGAAAGACTGCAACTCCCATTATTTCCAGCCTCAGAATGATGGGAATTGCATTCCAGCCCATCTGAAGGGCACCAGGCTGGGGATGGCTGATATAAAAGGCCCCAGGTTCAATCACTGATATCTCTAAGTATATGGTCTGACTTGATATAAGACAGGTAGGAGTTTATGTTCAAAAATTATTTCTACATGATACTAGCACTATGAGATGACACTGCCTTGAACATTTTCCAGGATTGCTCATATGTATCAATTTGCTTACACACAGCAGAACAGACATAGAACCACATGAAATTCATTTGTGGAAAATTAATGTTGGATTTCTTGTGGTTGTATTTTTATTTAAAACATGGGTATCTAGAGAATTATAGAAGATATAGACTTGTGATCATAACATGCCCTCCCAATAGCACTCATTTTTATGGTGTGCCTCTACACAAACCTTTCCCAAATATTGTTCATTTAAAACCCACAATGCCACATGACCCTAATTTAATGTTTCTCTGAGTTTGCTGGCAGTCGGCTGCCAACTTTCTTCTAAGAGCAATGAGGTTTGCATGCATGGAACTCCCCTGAAAGCCCTCCAGACAAGGTGCTTACAAAAATGGGATTTGGGAGTATATTCCCTTTTGGCATGAGGACTGGCAAAGGTAGTAGCTATTTTCCCCAACCTGGGCTAAGTCTCCAGCAAGCTGGAATCAAGATAGATTCAGTCAGTGGGCCCCTTTAATGAGTCTTGACAAAGGGGCCAATTGCTTGACCTTAGTTAACTTGCTGAGAGAATGAGAATTTTCTGACTCGTTCATCCAAAACTGGACAGGGCAGGGACAATGGCCCCTCCCTTGGCAATTGTCCTATTCATTTCCCTTACTTTTTGCTTCACTTCATTTAGAGTCCAGCTGAACAAATGCCCAATGTTCTTTCTTTGGCAACATGTGCCACAGAATGTTGTAGACACAGTATGCTTTTGTAAGGAACCAGTTTGTATTTACATACAGCATAGTAGTCCGCCACACCCTTCACTTGCTCATAATCTTCTGCATTGGCCAGCATATCTAAGCCTTCTGGATACAATTTTCCACATGTTGGATACAGCTTCTGTCGGTCTTCTTTACTTAGTTCAGTGCCAAATGAATTAATGGTGATGATAAAGGCACGCCTGTCTGCTTCAAACTTAATAAAACAAAATACAGTTTTCAATTAGTTTACAGTCATTTGTAGATGTATGCTAGTACGCATAGCATTAATAATTCAGATAAACTTATCTATGGCAAATTGCATGGAAAGCTGCTGCAAGATTTCAAACCTTTATGCTTGTTTGCTTGTTTGTTTTTAACAATGTAAAGGCTAAGCAAACACCTTTTCAACACCAACAGGAAGTCCTACATCCTACTAATTTCCTACAATGAAAGAGTTGATTCAAATGGCTTTGAAAAAGTGTGAAAACAGCAATTTACACTGGGTAGTAGTCACTAATTTTTTTGGCAAGTGAAAAATATCAAACCCCAGGGTATGAATCAATGCACAGAAGTAGGCTCCAGTCTAGTACCCATTTATCAAGGGCTAAACTTAGTATTAGTAGGACTTAATTTTGAGGTGACATGTGTAGGGTTGCACTGTTCATTTTACTTTGGGTTTCCTATACCAGGGAAGTAGGCAGCTGCACCATGGCATCAGACACTCTCTTCCAGTTCGGCAACCCACAGATGCGCTGACCCAGAAGTCCCTTCATGCCTAGACAGCATGGTTGCCGCACCACTTCTGGCACCTCTGCTATAGGTTCCTAGCACTTGATACAGGGGCCCAACTTGAGACTTGGGCACCTTATTATCTCTTAATTTGCATGTACTGATTGAATTGATTTATAGACCCAACTTCAAGCCAGATGAGTCATGATAAAATAAAAACAGCAAAAGAAAAAAAATGCAGTAAAATACAGCGAAAGAAACCAGTCATGAAGTAAAAGCAACAATAAAAAGGAGCTATGATAGGCTAAGTCGCAAACTTCAAAAGCCTGTGAGAACAAGCTTTGCATGATGCCAGAAGAGTAATAAAGAACCAGTGGAGCTTCTTTACAAAGGGAATCCCATGGGCAGAATGGAAAGGGGGTGGTCATGCATACACCAATAAAAGAAATAATATACCAATAAAATAAAAGGAAAGACAATATTCTAGAAGTGGACAAAGACTGGGCCAAATTTCCAGCAGTGGAATTCTCCTGGCCCTGTATCAGTGTGCAGTAAATTAATTAAGAGAGGTCAATTTTGATATAGCTATAGATATTTGGAGTGCAGACTACACTCACCTACTCCAGTTCTATTGTGGTGTTATGAATTTCAGGGGAAAAATCTATTACAAATGTATACTCAGGCCTCAGACCTGAACAAACATATATGCATGTAAGTCATTCCAAAAGATGTACATAAATAGTAGATTCAAAAAGGCTTGTGTTCACAACCACCCCTTTCAACAAGAACAATTTGCAAGAAAATGTGGTTCTTTAAAGCTTTGATTTTCTTAAACTACTCCAGAGTTATTTTCAAGTAACTGGAGAAAATGCTTGTGTGGAGCTTAATATCACTTGACAGAGACATGACTTTTTCCCCCTTAAATATTTCTTATCTGGTTTAGCACTGGAATATAATTCATGGCATCCTAGTAAAACAGCCAAATTTTAGTCAAACCTTTTATGAAACTAAAGCAAAATTCAACAGTCCTTGAATTTAATCTACCCATAACACTGCAGGAGTGTAAGAACAACCACTACAGAATCCCCCATGCTGCGGGTTCAAGAACATTGCAAAGGACTGTGAGGAGAGCAGCTTCAAATGTCCCAGCTATGAAGCCCTTACAGCCAATGGCTGTGCTGGCTGAACATTATGGGACTGGCAGTTCAACATATCTGAAGGGCAACAGGTTGGGAAAGGATCACTTTCTGCAGATCACTTTCAAGGGATCTTTTGGTAACCAGCTCTGATACACATTGATGGAAACTGTCTTACCTCTAAAAGAGGACACATTATATCTGCTGTAGTGCCACCTTGTTTTTTGCAGAACGTATAGAATGCCTCAAGATAAGACTAAACAATGGAAAAAAAGAATATTAAAATCTCCCTTTAGGTATCAACAATAAATATTAATATAGCATTAACTTTGAGTGCATGAAAAATATAAATAATTCTTATTTCTTTATTGCAAGAACAGAGCTTATACATTGCTGCACCAAAACGCAAAGCAACCCATTTAGGGTTTTGGCTTGGTTTGGTTTTGCATAAGCTTCTGAAATGGCTTCTGTCTATGATTGTATGTCGCATGCCATACTAAGCCACTGTGTCTTAGAAGCTGCAGGGGCTTAGTGTGTTGTCCAAACTTGTTTCCCTCCCGTGGCTTTCTTGTGGCTTTGAAGACACCCCAATAAGCCTGGAAGACTCAGCAAGGCCAGGTGAAGCCCAAGCCCTACAGAGCTGCTTGGCAAGTAGCTGTAGGCGAGGCGGAAGCATGTGCTGTCAGTGGGAGCCTCTGGAGGAGGTCAGTGACAGAATGGAGGCTGGCAAGGAAGAGGCAGTTGCGCTGGCTGCTTCACATCTCCTCTTCCTCACGACTCTCTGCTTGCCATTTCAGGCCAGTGCAGCCCAGTCCCAGCAGAGAGGGGCTGCGGGCCCACTGCCATGCCCCACCCCCTATAGCCTCATTTGCCGTTTGGGGAGGTGGTGTGTGGTGCTGCCCCGAGCTCTTGCTAATGGCAGTAGGCCAGGCATGCAGGCCTGCTCTACCAGCACTGGCAGCGGCGCCACCATGGCCACCAGCCAGAAGGCTGAAGCAATGGGCATTCCTCCTTTCCAGTCTCCTGCCCCCGTGCTGCTGTCAAGCAGCATCAGGGAGAGATAAACCTTCGTGCTCCTCCAGTGTCCCCTGAGATACCTGCAAGAGGACTGAGGGTGAGGAGGATGTTGCAGGCCATGATGTCGGTCACGTGCCAGGCACATTGTGAGCCCCGGGACCAACAAGCCACACTGCATAGTGAATCTGCCCTGTGCCATGTAAGGTCAAACCAGATGTGACTCTGGAGGCACATGGATACAGCCCCCAGTGATGGTTTCTTGCATGCGGGGGGGGGGGGGGGGGGAGTTCTTTTCTTTTGCAGAAGCATCCATGGCAGTGTTCTGGATGAGGCGAGATGGTATAACCCTCTTCCACTGGCACAAGCCCCTCAGTGCAAATCTCCATCCCACTCCACAGCTGCTACTTGCCACTCCATCTTTCTTTCCATCAGAATGGTAGTAGTGGTAATATTAATAATACGCTAAGGAAAGAAACTGGAATATTTGTACAGTGGGTGCTTCCAGACAAGACTGGTATGACCCCATTGTCCTTGCCTGACTCAGAATTTTATGAGGGACCCAGATGACAGTGCCTTCCACTTCCATCTCTTTTCTTAACATGAAAAAGCCATTAAGGGGGAATAAAAAGATGGTGCAGGAATGCTTTTCGATGGGTGGCTCTAGGAACTATCCCTTTGGAACATACTTTTGTCTCACTGAAAGCTATGGAGCTTGCTGCTGAGTAAATCTGCATAGCAGTTGCCCTGAAAAGGAGATGGTCTGTTGTGTCTCTTACTACAGAGTGGCTGCTTGAGCCTCTTACCACAATGGGAGAGCTTCATTTCAGATGTAACAGAGAAGTTGGAACTTGTTCTGATGCCTTCCATATCTCTCTTACCCATCTAAATTCTAAAGATTACATCTTGTTCTCGGTCTGGGTGGTTTTGCATGTTACAGCTAGTCCCAATAAGTGGAAGTGATGTCACTAATACTTTTTTTGGCAATTTCTTGTGTTATGCAATTTCTGTTTGCGGAGCAGTCAGTGTAATCCACATACTGTCAATGTCAGTGAGAGATCTGGAATTTTTTTTAGTGATTATACATGGAACTTAATTTGCATGGCTAATTCCAAATAATGTTTACCTTGTACAATTTGTTGCGCATGATTTCAATGTTCATCTCATCCAAATCATTTTCAGATACACAGTCTTGAAAGAAATCAGCTGAAAGCAAAAGTATTTAAATTATAAAGCCAAATTGCAGAGATGATGAGAAACTCACATGTATCTCTCTATCTTTTAATGAACAAGAACCAATGATTTCTATGGCACTGCAGAGAATAATATGAAAAGAGGGAGGGAGGCCTATAAATAAGCTTCAAATATTTCTAACTTCTTGTATATACCTTACAGTAAGAATACTATTTTGAAGATAATGTGGGGTTGCTAATCCAAATCTTCACCAGGTGTCTAGCAGAAACACTAAAATGAATTTCAATCTACTCTGTACACAAAGAATAAAACAGAAGAGCTTTAGGAAGGCTTATCTAATCCCCATATATACCACAATCCCTCTTTCATTTACATTTCTTTGCTTGTTTTACTGTAATTTTCAGTCTAAGTGCTGCTGATTGCTTTTAATTGTATTGGTGAAGTAGTTCTTGAGAATGCCTTCTTTGCTACATGGAAGGGCCAGGACTCACATGCTGCAGAGTGAACTGTCCACATCATGAAAGTGAGAAGCAGTCAGCTGTGCCACTCCTCACAGCACCCACTAGGAGAATCCACTGGTTCCCATGTCACCCCCAGCTGAAATTGCTGCACAAAACCTTCTCAGTTAATAGTGCTAGGAGCTGTTTATCTGGACCATGCTTTTGTTTCACTGGATTCAAAGGAGATTACTTCTGAGTAAAGCTGCATAGCAATTACACTGAAAAGAAGACTTGTGTATCTTTTTGCATACTATACTATATACCCCCTACTATACGGGGGTTGTGTAAGCATCTGACTATAAGCTTCATTTCAGACATGAAAGATGAATTGGAACTTGCCCTTCCTAGTTGTTTCCTATTTCCCTTGCATCTGAAACTGTCTAAATTCTAAATGGAGAGCCTGCCAACATTAGCCACAGTGAGAGAATGGCTGGCAGGGCTCTCTGGAATAGTTACCGGTCTTTTGTTTCCCTCATTTTCTGCACCTGTTCTGCCAGTGGCAGTACTTCTTTTTTGGATCCGGAGACAAAAAACACACTTGTGGGTAAAGATTAATGAGCTTTATTAGCAGGCCACAGAAAAGACATTATAAAGGAAAAGTAGGTATAGAATATGCTTACCTTTATTCTGCTACTGGGAAAGAAATGGCAGTGGACGCATTCCTAGATGGCACATAGCACCTTCCGCAGGTAGGTCTGTAGTGGGGTTCTGCTCTTAGAAAGTTTCACTAACCCTGTATAAGCTTTTTGGTGTTTACCATAATCATACCTGCTCACATTAAACTAGGCAAAATTAGTATGCTTTGCAAATAACTAATTGGGAAAGAATCTTAACAGATAACTGTGTATACATTTTGGGCATTCCCATACCAGGCAGCTGTCCTTGTTAGGCTCATCTGGTGATAAGCAATACTTTCAAGTTGGCTGAGGTATGGCCCAGAGCTACCTGGTTCCCAGGCCATATCTAGTTCAAACACATCCAAACTATGAATAACAGCTATCTAAGCAATTGAAGTATGACCAGCAGATAACTGGTCTAAGAAGTGGCCTTCTTAAGTCTCAGCTGACATTAAGGTCACACCCAAGACAAAATGAACAAGATTCCTACAGGAAATTCTAAGCAAACTAAACACCAGATCATGAGAAACAGCAATTGATACCAAACCCAGGGCCCAGTGGAGAGGAAATGATGAATGTGAATAGGTGTACAGAGAAGGATAAGAGATGCGGACAGAATGGCCTGCTCATGATCACAATGGTCTTCTAGCCCTTCCACTACAGACCCCTTATGTTTGCTGCTGCCATATTGGCTCTGTGAGAGCTGCACAGTTGGAAGAAGTACCCATGAAGATCTCATGAGATGTCACAGTGGTGGGGTAAGTTATTTTCTGCTTCAGGCAGAAAGAGACCTTAAACCAATGCTGAGAAGTACTTGCATGTGAGACTGCCTAAGAATCATAGGTAAGTAGCTCTGAGATCCTTGTTGAAAAGGCAAATGAGAGCCAGTGCGGCATAGTGATTAGGGTGTTGGACCTGGGACCAGGAGATCTGAGTTCTTTTCTCCACTCGGTCATGAAGCACACTGGGCAAATTTGGGCCAGTCACTCACTTGCAGCCTGACCTATCTCACGGGATTGTGGTTTTGAGGATCAAATGCAATGGAGGAGAAGGACTATGTCAACTCTCTTGGGTTTCTTTCAAGAAGGAAAATGGAAGATATAAACATAATGGATGAAAAAATTAACACAGCAAATACATTTCTGGGACCAAAGTAAAAAAAGGTTTCCTTATATCAATTTCTAAATTTCCCTAGCCCATGCAATGGTGGATTCCTGTAGACATCTGAGGTTCCAGGACTCTTAAGGAACAGGAATCAAAGCGCAGAATAGGCTGAAAAGAGGTGGTGTCAGTTTCTAGGTCTGCATCCAGCATGGAACACAAAAATATTGTCCTCCCAAGAGGTCCTCTGATGATTCTATTGCTCTATCCCTGCCCATTTTGCCCTTGCTCTCTACCAGTAGAGACATGGAATTATCACTTCTCTTATATTTGCAGTGACAGCTTGCTGCTGCTGCTGCAATAAAATAAAGCCAGCTTAGCTGGCAAGTACTCCTTACCCTAACTTGAAGGTTAAACCTCTTTCTGCACAATTAAACTAGTTCAAGGCACAGGGACATCCACAGGGACACAGGTCCAAGCCCAATGCTTAACCCCAGCCCTAGTATGTGTGCTGGCACCAACACACTGTGTTGCAAATTGAGTTAGCTTGTGGACTTCTATCTCTAAGAAAGATCTCAGTTTGCACATTTTAACTGCTATGAAATATGTGCAAATAAGCACTTCCAAAGTATAGGGCTCTTATGTGATTGGTGCAGAATCAGCTGATTTGTGCAAATCACAACTTTCATAAAATTGGAATTGGTGCAAATTGTAATTACATGCAAGATTGGCCAATTTTATACTATTGTTTGGTTTTAAGAGATTGTTTACTGGAAAAATTAGGATGTTGGTCAATTCTATTTAGACTGGAATCAACTTTCAATTTGGTCCTGTTTTATTAATGACTGGATTTAACAGAATTCTAACACAGGATGTTTATTTTGTTGTTAACCTCTGTAAAGTGCTTCAGACTATAACTTTAGCTTTACTAGTCTGGAGTGAATGTTCTTGGGTTTGCAAATAGAAGTTACTTGATCAGAAGAACAGTTTCTTTGCATAACCCTGGAGGCGGGGCGGGGGGGGAGGCAGAGAGAAGGGGGGAGTGAGGTGGCTGGGCAGCGGCCTTTACATTCAGATAGGGTGAGGAAAGATTTCTGTCTGAAACTCTGGAGAGCCACTATCATGTAGTGTAGAGTAGGGTAGGCAGACTTCAGAAATGCTTTTTCCTAGAAGCCCAGTAACTACCTATTAGCATCATTATTACAATATACATGATCTGGCAGGCAAGTATATGCTGTGAATTAAAAAAGGATGCCTCTGAGCACCTACTTATATCTCAGGACCCAAGCTCACCTATATCTTTATACAGAAATATATACCTGGGTTTGTCCCAAGAGTTTCTTTCCAGCAACGTAATTTTCAGGTTGGGGCAGGAAAGTTTTGAGCTAGAAACACTTGGTAATCTAATAAAAATCACCCAGAGATCTATCAATATATCCTGATCTACTTTCTGCCTACTTCTGGAATAGTCAATACTAAACTGGACCAATCAGCTAGATCTGACTTAACAGAGGACAGCTACCTCTATTTCTTCATCATGGCCATTAGAGAAGAAATTGACATTTAGGTTGCAAACATGTCCATTCTGCTCCAAAGAGAAGCACATTTTCACCAAAAAACTAGAGGTGGTGTAGGATTTTTTTCTACAGTTGTAAGTAACATGGTGGAAAATTACAGACAAAATCAAATGAACCAATAAACATTCCTCCAGAACACTGGGGTGGGGATGGAAAAAAAAATATCCATTTCCATGCACAGCCACTCAGCCCTCTTTGAATTGCACTGATATCCCTCACATGATGCTTACTTTTTCTGTAAGTCACTTAACATTTAGTCAGTATGAAATGCTAACACTGTATTAAGGCAGAGCAGTCCAGGTCCATTTGTGATTCACCAAACCACTGTTCCCTTTATTATTATTAATTTTCTTGCTGCCTGGCTAGAAGCGAAACAATAGGGAAGTTGTCTAGTATTGGGTAAATCATTATATAGGTTGGCTGGGTTCATTTCGAAGGGTCACAAATAGTGCAACTCTGAGAAAGAGGAAGACAAACAATGATAGGCGAGAAACTATCATATTCATGTGCACATGTACACACATATACACAATTATTAACAAACTTACCTAATGGAGTATCCACCAAAATTGCATTGAATAACTCTGCAGGGTTTGGAGCAATGCTAACAGCTTCCATCTGCTCAAAACTGCCCAAAGGATGGCACTTAAGAACAAGTTCATCTATGGGTCGTTGACGCAATGTGCCAGTAATGAGCAGGATCACATTGTCAATCATATAGCTGTACCTAATGTGAGAAAACAACATCAGTCAAAAGGTTCCTTTCTTTCTAGGGGCAAAATGCTTTTAAAAGACCAAACAGCCAAGAATGTTTGGCCAACGTGAATATTCCATAAAATAGGGCCTTGTAAAGGAGTATCAATTCCTCTTTTTTGCCCTGTGGGAAAAGAAGCTGGAATTCAAGGAAGAACTGCAGGGCAGGGCAGTATGTTTCCAGCAGTTCCTCCAAGGAATGCTAGGTCAGCAGCATTTGGGTAATTTAAAACAGTAGCTTGGTCTAGCCACTTGGCACTTTTCAGTGTGTCAGGCCAGAAAAAATCTTGAGGTTTTTTTAAGCCCTAGAAGGCCCCAGAGTAGCTGTCCAAGGATACAAGTTGTGGATGCTGGGCCTGTTCAGCAGGGACGGTGCTGCCTCAGTATGACTAGATAGCAGAACTGAGCTTGATCAAAACGAAGCCACAGCTGCCACATGGCATTATTTTACCTTGATTTTTAAACCACTTTTTGAGTATTGTGGATCATTAAATTTAAAGTAGGATTGAGTTAAACCTTGACAATTCCCATTGCTGTCTGGGCATATGGAAGGTATGGCCAGCATCTTATGAATCATACTTTTTAAATGTACACACATGCACACATATTCAATACAAAAAGTATTTACCTTCTTTTTATCATCTTCTAGTAATTCCATAATGTGATTAGCTTACTTACGTAATATAGTTTAGGAATGTGGAGAGTGGCTCAAAGGCATGGTTTCGGAAATACTGAAATTCTGTCAGTAGTTTGGCTTTTAGTTTGTCATCAATGGTAGAAACTGTGAGGGGACCGGTTTCATTGGCTAAGAAGTTCCCATAGTCTGTGGTTTGCAAGTGTAATTTCAGATCTAAAATATAATTGAAAAAGGTAATATAAACACAATATTATAATATGAAAAAGGTAATATAAACAGTTCCTTCATGGATCACTGCCTTGTCGTGGCGAAGGGGCTTGCATTGCTCAATGAAGCTATGAGCTGCGCTGTGCAAAGCCACCCAAGACGGACAGGTCATAGCAGAGAGCTCTGACAAAACGTGATCCACTGGAGAAGGAAATGGCAACCCACTCCAGTATCTTTGCCGTGAAAACTCCATGGACAGTACCAAAAGGCAAAGAGATATGACGCCGGAAGATGAGCCCCTCAGGTCGAAAGGTGTCCAATTTGCTACTGGGGAAGAGCAGAGGGCTAGTACTAGTAGCGCCAGAAAGAATGAAGTGACTGGGTCAAAGCCGAAAGGACGCTCAGTTGCTAAAGTATCTGGTGGTGAAAGGAGAGTCCGATGTTGTAAAGATCTATACTCCATAGGAACCTGGAATGTAAGATCCATGAATCAAGGCAAGCTGGATGTGGTCAAACAAGAGATGACAAGACTGAACATCGACATCTTAGGAATCAGTGAACTAAAATGGAGAGAAATGGGTGAATTTAATTGAGATGACCATCAGGTATACTACTGCGGGCAAGAATCCCTCAGAAGAAATGGAGTAGCCTTCATAGTCACTAAAAGAGTAGGAAAAGCAGTATTGGGATACAATCTCCAAAATGACAGAATGATCTCCGTTCGAATCCAAGGCAAACCACATAGTCCAAGTCTATGCCCCAGCCACTGGTGCTGAAGAGGCTGAAGTTGATTGGTTCTCTGATGGCCTACAACACCTTCTAGAATTAACACCCAAAAATGATGTCCTTACCATCATGGGGGATTGGAATGCTAAAGTAGGAAGCCAAAAGATAACTGGAATAACAGGCAAGTTTGGCCTTGGAGTACAAAATGAAGCAGGGCAAAGACTAACAGAGTTTTGTGAAGAGAACATGATGGTCATAGCAAACACTCTTTTCCAACAACCCAAGGGACGACTCTACATATGGACATCACCAGATGGTCAACACAGAAATCAGACTGACTATGTGCTCTGCAGCCAAAGATGAAGAAGCTCTATACAGTCAGTAAAAACTAGACCAGGAGCTGACTGGGACTCAGATCATGAGCTTCTTGTTGCAAAATTTAGGCTTAAATTGAAGAAAGTAGGGAAAAGCACTAGGGCACCCAGGTATGACCTAAATCATATCCATGATGAATATACAGTATAGGTGACATATAGATTTAAGGAATTAGATCTGATAGAGTGCCTGAAGAACCTTCTGAAGATGGAGGTTCTCAACATTGTACAAGAGGTAGCAACTAAAACCATCCCAAAGAAAAAGAAATACAAGAAAGCAAAATGGCTGTCTGAGGAAGCTATTGGTCTACAAATATCTGAGGAAAGAAGGGAAGTGAAAGGCAAGGGAGAAAGGGAAAGATACACCCAACTGAATGCAGAATTCCAGAGAATAGCTAAAAGAGATAAGAATGCCTTCTTAAATGAACAGTGCAAAGAAATAGAAGAAAACAATAGAATGGGGAGGACCAGAGATCTCTTCAAGAAAATTGAAGGGAACGTTTCATGCAAAGATGGGCATGATAAAGGACCAAAATGGCAGGGACCTAACTTGTGGCAAGTTCTTAGAGAGATGGGAGTACCCGACCATCTTATTTGTCTTTTGAGAAACCTATATGCGGGTCAAGGAGCAACAGTGAGAACTGGACACAGAATCACTGATTGGTTCAAAATTGAGAAAGAGTTCGGCAAGGCTGTATACTGTCGCCCTGCCTATTTAACTTATATGCAGAGCACATCTTGAGAAAGGCAGGCCTAGATGAATCACCAGTTGGAATTAAGATTGCTGGGAGAGATATCAACAACCTCAGATATGCAGATGATACCACTCTCATGGCAGAAAGTGAAGAAGAACTAAAGAGCCTCTTGATGCGGGTGAAGGAGGAGAGTGCAAAAGTTGGCTTGAAACTCAACATTAAGAAAACTAAGATCATGGCATCCGATCCTCTCACTTCCTGGCAAATAGATGGGGAAGAAATGGAGGTAGTGACAGATTTTTTTTTCGTGGGCTCCAAGATCACTGCAGATGGGGACTGCAGCCAAGAAATTAAAAGACACTTGCTCCTGGGGGGGAAAGCTATGGCAAATCTAGACAGCGCACTAAAAAGCAGAGACATCACCCTGCCAACAAAAGTGTGTATACTCAAGGCTATGGTTTTCCCAGTTGCAATGTATGGCTGTGAAAGTTGGACCAGGAGGAAGGCTGAGTGCTGAAGAATTGAGGCCTTTGAATTGTGGTGCTGGAGGAGACTCTTGCGAGTTCCTTGGACTGCAAGGCAATCAAACCGGGCAGTCCTAGAGGAGATCAAGCCTGATTGCTCTTTAGAAGGCCAGATCCTGAAGATGAAACTCAAATACTTTGGCCACCTAATGAGAAGGAAGGACTCCCTGGAGAAGAGCCTAATGCTGGGAACAATAGATGGCAAAAGAAGGAGGGGACGGCAGAGGATGAGGTGGCTAGATGGAGTCACAGAAGCAGTTGGCATGAGCTTAAGTGGACTTCAGGGGATGGTGGAGGACAGGAAGGCCTGGAGGAATGTTGTCCATGGGGTCACGATAGGTCGGACACAGCTTCGCGACTAACAACAACAATATAAACAGATTGTTTTTCTGCAAAGAAACAAAGGAAAATGCAATATTCTCTCAGTTTTTCCTTCCTTCCTCCCTTCCTTCACTTAGCTGCCAGGTTCAGATGTGATACAAAACACTGGTTTGTTTAGCTACAAAGCATGGTTTATTTAGGGCTGACAAATCAGGGTCTAAAGCAGAGGTGGACAACATGTAGCCCTCCGGATATTTTTGACCTACATCCTGCATCATCCTACACCATTGGTTATGCTGGCTAGGACTGATGGGAGTTGCAGTCCAAAATAACTGGAGTGCCACAAGTAGCCAACTCCTGACCTAAAGCCAGCATTTGAAGCAGGTGTGTAAATCAGTTTGTGTGGAAAGTGGTATGTATGAATTCAGACATGCCATATTGGATGTCTGGGATTGTGCATTTGTAATGGCAGTCTTTTTCTTTTGCCACCAATTCATGCAGTGACTGGGTCCGTAACTCGCTTACTGCAGACTGTGCAGATTCATCATTGCACTCCGAACAGGAGGAGAGCAAAGCCTTTGAAGCAGCTTTTTGCTTAGCGAAATTTCTCAAGCAAAGCATAAGAATCAGCCCATTTTGGAAGGGGTGGAAGGGTTTTTGGGAGGAGAAGAGGAGCATATGCAAAACCAGTCCTTGGTCCAGTAGCAGGCATTTGGAGAAGCAAACTGCGCAGTTGGAAGTTGCTGTTCGCTCTGGCTTGCTATCCAGCAGTGAGTCAGAAGCTTTACTGAAGGGGAAGTTTCCAGTTTGGATTCAGCTTTTTACAGGACCAGATGCTTCTCCTTTGACTTTGGCAATAAGGCTGTTTAGAGTTCAAACTGTTCTTTTATCTGCAGAGTTTCAATAAGGGAACTGTTTTGAGTTCTAGAACCAGAGGGAAGGAGGGGAGGGACCAGTTTATGACAATTCAATCAAAAATTCCCTAAGCAGTAGTAATTTCATTGCAACTTTTACAGTCATTTCAAGTAGAAAGCACAAGAAGCTTAGGTCATCTGGTATTCACAATTGCACAGGTCTGGCAGGTATTACGCTAGCTACCAAGTAGGCAGCAATACTTACAAAACAACACATCATCCCAGGCCCCAGGAATAACAGATATATCATGCAATCAGTGCATTGGATACATTGTCAACACCAGCTAGGGGGAGTTACAAATAAAACTTGCTTAAGAAAAATTTATACAATGAATGCAAAATGCACCAATGTATCAATTAATGTAAGTCTGAGAGCGTAGCCCATTCATGTCAAATGCCTATCTGACCCCATCCTAATGGCAAGGGTAGGCGATGACAGCTTGAAAAGGCATTACACTATGATCTGTAGAATAACCAATGCATACAGTTACAATATGTCTGTTTACATCTTTTATAACCACTTTTCTTCCAATGGGTTTAAGGTGGCATTTTGATTTTCATAGAGACAGTGTGAGGGGGGGAGAGCAAATTTCGTGCCCATCCCAGGGTAACCCAGTGAGCTTTACGGCTGAGTGTGGACTAGGGCCTAGGCCATCCAGATCCTAGGCCAATGCACTGCCCCTCTATTCCAGGCATTCCATCTGAGTGTCCCAGCACTCTGTCATGTCCTCATGTGACCAAAAACAGAACCCAGGGGGAAGGCTATGGTAACAGAGGCTGCCTTGATTCCAAATGAGTGACATAACGGTAGCAGGGGGATGATTTAGCCCTAACCTACCAGGCAGCCCAATTGGCTTTCTTCCAGACTTCCTAGGAAGACACATAGATATACATGCACACACATAATTCCTATCAGTGATAGGCATTTTACTAATCATTTAATTTTTTAAAAACCACTTTTGTTGACTATGTGAATGAGGCCCTCTCCTGATCATTTCTAAAAAGGAAATGTACATTCTTTGATATTTCTGTACAAAATCTGGGAATGGAAATTTATCCAAAGGCTAGAACAGAATATCTGATACTGGAGAGTCTCTGCATGCCAAGCTCCATTTAGAAGTCACACACAAGGACACCAGCTCTGAGCTTTGGAGCCTTTGAATGCTTTTGAAAAACGCGTTCCATGCACTGTGTTTAATTATAAAAGGCCACACCAGTTCATGCCTACCTGCACACGCTCTGCCATTTCTGCTTTAGGCTGAAGCCACCAGTATAAACTAACAAAGGATTGCATGTTAAACAAAGTGCTGCAAAATTAAAAACAAGGCTCTGTTGGCAAAACACTGCACAGATTGTATCCTTACAAGCAACCAAGGGACTAGAGTCAAATAACCAGAGCCATGTGACATTCTTCCGCATCACCCCTTTTTTTTTTCACATAGAAAATATGCATACTATCATAGTGACAAAATTACCAGGAAGTGATTCACACTTTAGCATATCCTTATGAATTTGAAGAAATCCGTGTGCATAGAATACGATGTAATGACCTCCAAACATGTATTTTTAAAATGTGTGAGTGCATTGAAAGAAGAATGTTGTGAGCAGAATTTTGAACATGGACCGTGTAAATCGACTCAGGGTTAAAACATAAAATACTCATTTAACCAAGAAGGGGTGAACTTGTGTCAGTCAGTATCTTTCTTCCTAATCTACCCCACACAAGGTCATTGAAGTTGCATAGGGTCCCTACATGCTTGCCAGATGTGCCACTGGGGCAAGGCTAGTGAGAATGACCCTGCTCCCCCAGCTGCAGTGTATGGGAGGTGCCTGCTGGATGTCCAAAAGCGGTATGGGCAGGGTGTCTTGCTTCTTAATCCAACCTCGTACATCTCAGGGCTGTTCATGTTGTCAAAGTCTTTTGCATGCAAAGCACCTCATGCACATTAACCCCTGCCTCCACAAGCAGAACTGTATTTATATCCTCCACGGATAAAACTCATCACCTTGTATACAAATGAAATGAAATGAAATGAAATGAATTTCTGTACATGTAGTTTCCATTTTCAAGCTACTGTATTTGTTCGAATTGCTACTCTCAGCTGGATTGCTCTGTCCTTTATCTGTGGACGGGCCCAGTCATATCATATATCATATCATATCATGTCATGTCATATCTTAGCAACAGTGTCCAACCTAGTGCCCTCCAGAAGTATCCCATCACAACTCCCATCATTAGCCTATTAACTCCCTACTGGCTGGGGATGATAGGACTTTTAGTCAACACATTTGGAAGGTGCTAGTCTGGGAAAGGCTGTTCTAAACTCTAAGATTGCCTGGGGAAGTATTACATGCCTCATGCTTGCTAAATGAGATTTCAACAGTATGAACACAGTGTAGGACCATAGGTACCAGAACGAGGGGACCCAAAAGCTTTCTCGGTGTCCATGCTTTTTTTGGATGAAAAAATGTGCTTTTTGTGGGCACACAAAGGAGTGGGTTGCAGAGCTGGACCACGAGAAAAGCTAAAGACAGTCAAAGCAAGGAACAAGAGAAGAGTCTGTCAGGATTTGAGAAGAGCCCAGTAAAGCAAAAGAATGGTCCAGCTGCCTCTTTCTGTTTCCTCCACTGGGGCTGCTTGAATCAAAGAAAGCAAGGAAGACCAGGTGACTTCAGGAGAGCTTATCTTTCAAATCAGGGTTGGGCCGAGGAACTCTTGCTCCCAGAAACAAAAGAAAAGTTTGCTAAACAGCTGAGTCTCCTACTTCACCTTCTGAGCCCTTCTTTTGGGGCATTTAGGATTAAATTCTAAATTGTACTGTAGATTGGCCTTCTCCAACCATGTCCCCTTCCTACCTAATGTCAGCCCAATGTCAGTACTATGACAGCCAATGCCATCCATAGATAAGAATACTAGGCGACCAGTTTTCAACTTTCACTGTGATAATGGTAAACTGGATGTTTGAAGTGCATCCAGTTCTAGCTTTTACCTAATTGTACAAGTAGGCTGCAGCATCTAGCCAAAAATAGCAACAGCAGAATGATTAGCTTTACATGCTTTACAACATCATTGAGACAGGTAATTTGGTGAAAGTCCTGTTGAAGTCAAACAATAGCTTGATGCGGCTCTGAACTGTGCTACTAGAATGATACAATACTGGCCACCAGTTTGATACCAGTTGGGGATGATGATGATGATGATTTAAACAGGTTGAAATCCCAGCAGAATACATTTTCATCATTATTCAAATTCAAATGTAGCTCTGACAAAAACTATGAATTATTTGAAAGAAGATGATTGATTTTTGCCTTCATTCCAATGTAGTTCTAGTTGTGTCTTTGAAGGACAATCTCAATTTTTCATTTGTAGATCTCATTAACATTTTTTAAAACTATCATCAAAGCTCACTTTGTTAAATATCCAGATTGGAATTTTGTTTCCTCCCCACAAGACCCAAACAAGACAGCCAGCAATGACACCAACCAATGTCACGAAGTGAAGCTTCAGTCCAGTCCAACTCACCTTCCAGTGTTTCACACTGTGCTAAGTTGACATAGTCAGAAGTTTTCAAGATTCCACCTTTAAAGCCTCGTACCAGGCCCTCCAGATAACCATGGTCCACATTGAAATAAAATTCTGAACAGCCTGGCATAGTGGAAAAGCCGGTTTGATGCCTTCCAGTGCTTAGAAAAGACTGAGTCTTGTGTTTGTCTTCAGGAAATGATTGCAAGCAGTCACTAGATCTGGTTGGGCTTTAAGTGAGTTGCTTCTTCCTGTTTCTCTGTTTCCAGTACAAATGAATTGTGTTTTCCATAGTGCTTACACAACATATGCTCAGCAGACAGTACAAATCTAATCCTTTCCTATTAGAAATGAAGGCCGCCCTGAGCATTACAGGCAAAATAAGAGCTTGGACAGAAGAAGGATACTATATGTTTATAACGTCTGCTTTGGATTTGACTGGACAATATCTCCTTGACAGAGTGAGAGCTATGTGCATGCTCCATGAAAATACGATTATATTATTGTTCCTCAACTGTATTCCAAAAATGCCTGCTCTGAATGCACAGAGCCACAACCAACTTCAGATCAACAGATAACAGAGCATTGTTAATACAGAACTTTTCTACATAAGTCATTTGTTGTACTCTCATGGTCGCAGACTCATGGGGACTTTTCATGATGTCATTCCCCTCTGCCGTGTTATCCACCCTTTTTGGCATTTCTTTTGTTTTTCTTTTTTCTTTCTTTTTTTTGAGGAAGTGAAGTCAACTGTTAAATTTTAAAGCTTCATGAGAAGACATATCTGCTATAGTGCAGCTATAACATACTCCTGCCTCATGGTTTTCTATAACAGACTATATAAAAAAAAAACCAAATTACTGCAAAAAAGGGGGCAGGGTAAAGGATTCATTTTTCCTTCCACAGCAAAGCTAGAAGAACCCTCAGCAGAGCAGCAAAATAAACACCTGATGCAGGGAAGCCCATGATGTATTGTTACATGAGAAGGCATGGTTGGGCACCTGCCAAAAGCCCGGACTTCAGCAGGAGCCCACTGACAACAGCTTGCTGTACTCACTCTTATATCTCACCATTGCAACATGCAATTCATCTGCATCTTGTTCTGGTCTACACAGCAAGGGTGGTGGTGGGAAGGAAGAGCAGTGGATGGCCCTGCCTACTTGCTTGCTGTCTCTGCCCAACAAACAAGCAAGTGGTAGGAAGTAGAGGATAAGAAGCAATGACCGTGGTGGCAAGAAGGTGGCCTAACTGAGGGATAGGGCCTGTCTGTTTTGCCTAAGAATTCCTTAAACCCTGGAGCATAGACTAGTTAAAAGTGGAGTTAAAGCTCCTGATTTCCCCTTCCTTTCCTCCAGGCAAATATAAGTTTCTTCCATTGTCTCTTGTGAAATTTGAATCAAGTTTCTAAGGCACAACATGATATTCAATAGAATTAGTTCTTAGTGCAAGATGATGTATGCTCATGGGCCTCACAACTGCAGTTAATTAAGAAGCATATTTTGAGAGGGAAGGGCAGGGTTCATTTTCCCCTCCCACCATGTTTCAGATGTCTATTCTTTAGAAGTACCTATATTTCCAGCCAACTCTCTTATTCTACATAATGATTGACTTCTGGGAATTAAAGTAAAAGATCCATGCATAGGAATGCCTGCCAAAGGGAAGAGTTTCTTTTCTTTAAAAGGTAAAGCTAGTCTGAATTTTTAGATTGCTATTTTAGATTGCTATATTAAAAGCCAGACAAGGCTTTTAATATAAAGTCACACTGTCCCATTCATGGAATTTTACATGCAGTATAAACCAGTAGTGGGCAGAAAGTAGATCTCCAGATGTTTAGACGTCAACTCTCAGCATTCTTGACCATTGGCCTTTGTGGTAGGGGCTTCTGGGAGCAGAAGTCCAAAAGATCTAAAGATCTACCTTTTTCTCATGTGTGGCAAGACAATATTGTCATCCCTTTGTAACCCTCCTGTGTTTTTTTCCTCTGTATTTATTCTTAAAAGAAATTAGCCCATTAAGGAAGAAAAGACAGAATAGGTGTAAAATGCTTTTTGACCAGAAATACTAGAGATCCTCTGCCTGGACATATCATAAACTACAACACCTGCAAAATTAAATACTATATGAATGAGAACAGTATTTGGTTGAGAAACTTGGTTCAGCCCCATATTCCTGAAACTCCATTGCCTCCCAATGCTGAAGTCAAAATGGTGTCTTTGTCAGCATAAACAGAACATGTCCAGGCAAGCCCTACTTTGGCCCTGTTATTGAACACTTTAGAACAACTCTGAATCTAAAAGCTCATTTCCCTTGGTCCTAATAAAGGCATCCTTAGTTTAAAGGCCAAATGAGATGAGATGAGGGAAATCCATGATTAGGGTTGCTGTTTATGCATCACCCAAAAGAGGAAATATATTGCCTTCTTCCCAAAAGAGGACAAAAGAGGATACAGTTCTACGCTGAAATGGCATGTGCTTATTTATTTTTAGAGGTGTAAATATATTCAGGAGCAATGAGCATAAGTGCAATCTATCTCCCCACAGTGGGGGAGATGGCGATCAGGCATCTTGCGTGCCTGTTCAACCTGCTGTGCAAGCACTCACTGCCGATGGGCAATTGTAAGACCCCCATCATGTTCTCCCTTCATGGCATTCATTCTCTTGAAAGCAGACTTGGACTGTCCTCTGTGAAGTTGGACGTTGGTCCTCTTTGGATGGCCCAATCTGCATTGGGATCACAGTGGAGGTTGGTGCTGGACATAGTTTCTCCGTGCTCTGTTTTATGGAGAAAATCCACCCACCACTCTTTTCCCCATTAGGAAAAAGTTATGCATTTTTTTTCTTTCCATAATGGGATAAAGGACACCTTTGGGGTAGAAGTTCATTAGGAAAATGGCTTGGAGGAAAGAGCTTCCCCTTCCCTGAGCCCCAACACAACCTCTATCCCCACAGCTGCTTTTTATGGAACAGCTCCAATCATATCTATCATCTCAGCTAGTTTGACCTTTACTGTCTTTATTTAGATCTCACCCTTGCCAGAGTAGATCAACATGGCAAGCTGTGGTTTTCTGCATAACAGAAAATATTTCTGTTTGACCACAAGATGTCTCCCTAACACCATAACAAAACTTTTTTCCCATGCTTCACAAATTGGAAGTAAACAGCAAAGCAAGAGAAAACAAAGCTTCTTAAAGGGGTGGGGTGGGGGTTATGGCTTTTCTAATCAGTAAGCAAGTTGGCTTGCTTTTCTATGCTTTCATTCATTCTCTTGTAATGTATCTTGTTTTTCTTCCTTTTTTCCGTCTCCCCCATTCTTTCCATGACACTGGATTTTCTCAGGGGAAGGCAGTATTGCTAAAGAGCAGATGACAAAGATCCAGCAACCAGAAGTTTCTGAGTAACTCGTGCTTTTCCACACACATTCATGTGTTTTTGAATCATGAGAAGGAAATGGGAAAACTTATTTTCTTAATATTGAAAGCACATGGTTACAGGATCTGCTTATTAAGGTATGCTTGTGCAAATTCATAATATTGTTATTGCTGTTAGTAATCACAATCATTTCACAGTACATATTGCTTTACAGTTCTTACTTCATTCCTTTTTGACTGTAATCCTATGGTCTCTGGGTATATCACACCAGGGCCATAGGGTGTTTTGGATCACCCAGAGCAGAGAAAGGTTTCCCTTGGAAACCTTTTTCATTCACTGCTACAAGTTCTGAAATGGTTCTTGACTAGCACTATAACGTTAAAACAGAAAAGAGGAGAGCAGGCAAACAGGTGTTGATGAACTAGGTGTTGACCAAGAAAGCCTTGGACCCACAGGTTCCATACTCCTCTTAGCTCCAAGATGACCCCCCCACCCCCCATACACACACAGAAATGGATGGCTGATCTACTGGGTCTCCACTAGGAGGGGATTTATGGGGAAATGGCCTCTGGAAACTTCTCCCTCTCTTTTGCATCCTACAATGTTCAGACTGGTGGAGTTTGGGATTTTTGTGGAAGCTCATCAAATGATATTTATTCAAATGATAGCTATGCTTGCTTTGTTAATCTTCCAATCCAAATATCTAGGTGGGAAGGGGATGCTGTTCTTTCTGTAGTTGTGCTCAAAAGGCACTTTTACTATCATTAATCTGTATTCATTCATTCCTTGTTTCACAGCACAAATCGTTAACATGCACAGTCAGCCTTTTCAAGTAGGAGCATGGAGCTACCTTTAGGCAGGAAGGGAGGCGTATGTGGGGAGGAGGGGACAGCTTGACGAATGGTTATCAACAAGACTTCAGAAGGCTGACCTTAGCATTTAGGTTGTGCACTGGGAAGTAAACTGTCTTGGGCTGGCACTAATACAGGTTAACAATTAATAAAATAACCTGTGCTGCACCATGAAATAAAGCATTTTGGGATCTTGCTTCACAGCACTGCACAGCCAAGCCTTTAGGGTGATTGCTGTATGTATGAGCTTTCTGTTTGCTGTTTGGAACTGTTGGATCCATTCTTTTGGATCCATTCCAATCTGACTTCAGGCCCAATGTTTGGATGGATGACTTATGAAGGAGGATGGGATAGGGGTGAGTGAGGCTCTGTTTGTTCTCCTGGCCTTCTCATCCATTTTTGACATCTTTCTGGGTTGGATGTAGGAGATACCGTATTATGGTGGTTCCAATCCTAAATGAATGAGCTCCCTCAGAAAGTGCTGCATGCAGACTTCTCCGTCCTATGGACATTGGTGTATGGAGTGCTCAAGAGCTCCTGTGCTTTTCAATATCTTCATGAAACAGTTGGGGCTTGGGCTGAGGGGCTAACCCTATTCAGGTGACATTCAGCACTTTGTCAATTTCCATCTAACGATCCTAGGGAGACTGCAGAAAGCCTGAAGCAAGGTCTGGAGGCAGTTTTGGAATGTGTGAAGGCAAACAAGCTGAGGTTTGATCCAGACAAAATTGTGATGCTGTGGGCACCCAACCAGACTAGTCTGGATAGAGGATTACATTTGGTCTTAGACAGAGCAGAACGTTTCACTCATAATCTACAATTATTTTTACACAAACAAACTTTCACTTGTCTGAACTCATGTTAGCAATTCATCTTCGGATCTGTTTTAGGGTTACCCAAAGATTGGTTAGACTTTCACGTTCATGTTTGTTTATTTCTACTGCTATGCTGCCCCATAACCTGAGGGTTCTCTGGGTGGC